AATATGTAATGATGGATTAAAAATTCAAAGTAAAACCAAGCAACCAAAAAAAAAAAAAAAAGAGAGAGAGAGAGAAAGAAAAGAAGAGGTGGTCTTTGATACACTATGGCAATGCAGGATATTAGCTGCAGCATTTTAAAAGCAGCTATGAAATGCTTTGAAAAACCAAATGTCCTGGCTATACTTAATAAGGGACTTTTAATTAGCCCAGATGGCTAAATAAATGGCAGCTATCAGTGAAAGGTACTTTCCACCTTTCCCTGAACTGCACTGAGAAAATTAACTCTAGAGTGAGAGAGAAGTAATGTTTTGCACAACACGCGTAGCTGGAATTCAGATAACAAAAGTGCATTCCCCTTATTGTGTGTATTTAATAGATATTACAAATGCAAAGTGTGGTTCTTACACTAGAGGCTGCAAGAGACGCTCAGTTCAGTACTCACGAGATTTAAGTTAGTCCATATTTCTGCAGGAAGTGACCTGCGGATGGGGAGCATGAGATGACACGATCTCACTCTTTTCACGGGAGAAATGTACAGTAAATGCCTAAAATAGACACAGGCTTTTCTGTATCATAACAACAAGCAGTGACCTCATCAGACACATGTGTACAAAGGGAATCCCACTGGGAGGATTTGTGAATTAGTTACTGTGAGATCTAACTTTTTTCAGGTTAAAAGTTTAGGGGGGAAAAGAAAAAAAATCAGAACAGGCCACAGAAATTAAATATTTTTGTAAAATGCACTGAGTACTGAAATTTCTGCCATTTGCAGCAGTTCAAATTCACAGCTTGAGAATACTTACCTGTAACCACAGATTAAAAAAGAAAAAACCCCAACATTCACTTTAAAAAAAATGCTAACCTTGTCACAAACCTGAGAAAACGATGACCTACAAATGAATTTTTACTTATTTGCTATTTTTTCCACCAATATTCTGTCCATATGCCTTTGTTTAATTTACAAAAATAAAAGGTTTCCCTACTGTAGCCAATTAATAGCTAATTAGACAAAAAATCATTTCCGCCTGCATTCCAGGCTTAAATAAGTTTTTACCAAATTTGTTCTTTCACTGTGCCAAGATCTGCAATTATGCTTTGTTTAAACTAATTTGTGGATCATTTTAAATATTAAAAGTGCAAACATAGACAAAAGCAACAAGGATTCTACCCTCAGTTACCTCAATAAGGTTGAGCAAGAAAAAAAAAAGTGAGAACAGAACTTCTATTCGGTTCCTTGGAACAAAGAAGGAAATAACTTTGGAACGAACATTTTTTTACAGACACACAAATAGCCTTATTTTGTTATTAAGGACTGTTTCCTTTACTGTCACTAAGTATAAAAAATAATGATCTACTTGACTGGAAAGGATGCATCATACTTGTATGTTATAAAAATCTTTGTTCATACAGAAGTGTAATATTTTAGAAATAGAAATTATGTTAACTGTAGATTAGAAGCTTGTATATAGTAACAAGGAGGATCTACCTGAAAGCCTGAACACATGTCAATTTCCACTCGTATCTGGCTTGAATTACTAATAGGAAGCAGTGGCACAATTTATCCACCACAGAAAAAAATAACGGCTGTTGATTTCAGTAAATTATTTGTATCTTAAGAAGGGGGAGTCAGGCCTAGGAACCATAAATTACACTGATCATTTTCTTAAAGATAAACCTTCTTAAAAAGAGTGAAGAAGGTATCTTAACTTCTTGCTCCTAAAATACCATGTGCAGAGGACAATTTCATCCCTTGTTTAGAATTTGATCCTGAAAGTTTAATCTCAGGTATTTGCACACAACTTTATTCAAAATCACTGGAATGTAAACTTGCTTAAATGACTGGCTAAATCAAGGCTCTAGTCCCTGATCTGACAAAGGGTTTCACAAAAATCATCATAGGTCCCATGTTTAAGTCTGACTGTTTAAAATCGATGCCTATCAATTTTTGTACTGTGTTGTATACCAGCAGGGAATTAATACAGTTTTCATGAGCCACAGCTAAGGTAATATTCAAGGAAAATTAAAAGACAAGTGTCTTGAATTCCCCTTAAAAGAAAATATTTTTAGTCACCTATCACAAATCAAAGGATATATTAATTTCAAAAGAGAATCTGCACAGTACAGAAGCAGCATGTAGCCGTTAGGCTTTAAATGCTTTTTCTACAAAAAAAGTACCATGTGAAATCACTTAGTTTACTACTAGAACCAATGACAGCTAAAAAAATATACTATTTTACTATTTGATGGAACAAAATGTCCCTGATCATCATACAATTTAAGAAAGAAAACAACCATATGAGTTTTTAAATACCAGATAGTTTCAAGAGACTAACAAATTATTAAAGAAAAGGCTTACAATTCTATCCCTGGGATTTACTGCGTTCTTAATTTACAAGTTATTTTGCATTGTGTAGCAATACAAATCTTGCAGGCAAAATTGTTAACAGCTGATTTTAGCACATTTTCTCAAACATGTTATTAGAATTAATTACAAGATGACAAGGTTAGCATTTTTCCAGAAGCTATGTTAAATTTTAACTATGGCCTTTTATATTAGTTATCAGACTACTGCTCAGTACTAAGAAACAAGATATTATTTATACTTAGCACAGAACTTTGTTTTACATGGTTTCTAGAGAATTTCTAGAGCATAATGTACTAGGCTATTTCAAGAAAGAAAGAAAGAAAAAAAATTAGCTACCTTCAGTGGGAATCTGCATGGGGCAGTCAGTTTCACCAACCATGTGGTTTAGGTGCATAACTGCAAAGCTAAACGTTAATGCTCATCAATACTGCAGGAGTACTCTGATATGATCATTTCAACAGCCACAAAGATGGGAGAAAGCGTTCTCAGTAATTAAATTGGTGAGTAATATAAGAGTCTTCAAGTGCAACCACAAAGAGGCAGTTTGCTAATATGGCCCAAGGCTATAGCAGTGGTTCTAAACCAGGAGACCAGAGCTTTGGAGGGTCATCAAGCGGGGCCAGTATTAGACTCACTGGAGCCAAGGGTAGAAAACCAAAGCCCCATTGCATGGGACTGAAGCCCAGTGCCCTGAGACCTGTCACCTGGCACTGAAGCTAAAGCCTGAGTAATGTAGCTTCACAGGGGACCCTGTGGTATGGGGCCCTAGGAAATCCCTCTGCTTACACCAGCCCTGGCTTTTATATGCAGAAAACCAATTATTGTGGCACAGGGTGGTTGTAGAGTTTTTAATAGCATGTTAGGTGGGGGTGGGGGCCTCAAAAAAGTTTGAAAACTCTTGGGCTAAAAGATGTTCATGCAGCACTAAATCATACTTTTGGGGAAGGAAAAAAAAGTCAATGAACAGATATAAAACTCACTGACAAACCAGGAATCAGTATATCCTTGTGGGTCAGGAAAATTGCTATTGTATATATTTACAGGGGTTCTTTTCATTAGGAAGCAATGAGTACAAGAACTTCCAGAGATAAGGGATATTCAGAACCTACATTTATTTGCAGGATTTTATACATTATATATGTAGTCTTTTTTTTTTAATTGAAGATTGCTAATCCATTTTCACATCTTCAGCTCCTTGTCAAAAGAAAAAATAGGATTTCTTTAAAAATTCTCTGAAGAAAAAAACACAGGTTATCAAAAAAGTTTTAACATGAGCAGGGTCTCTGAAGCAGTTTAACTGAATGAGTTTAATTTTAATTAAGTTTTTTTTTTGTTTTGTTCTTCCATTTCAATCCTCCTCACCCAATAAAACCCATAACCAGACATACTGTATTACTACCTCCATGAAGGCATTAGTTCCATGCCTGTTTTATTTTTTAAAGCTGCTACTACTGACCTTTGGAGGCACCTCATTTTCTCATGGGAAGATTAAACATCACTATTCTTTCTTTCTCTTGGATTTCTGAATGGCACCCATCACTGTATTATATAAAGCACAGCTCTAAAGCCACTTTGATCTCCCTCTAGATACTGAATTCTACATGCCAGAGTCAATTATCTCCGTTAGGACATTCCAGGATTTTCCACATTAATCCACTGGTCTATCACAATTAACTGTACATTTGACATTCTTAAAGCCCATGCCATAAACAGGAAATACTATGTATCGGTTACATAATTTGGCCAGAATTAGCTAATCCCATTTCTGATGTGCTTAAGTGACCAACGTTCAGACCAAAACTAAGCATATAATAAATCCAATATTTAAAAATATTTGTGTACTATGCCTAAATGAGAGGGACATAGCAACGAGCTAGCATGGTCTGGCAGGTGATGTTTGTGCACCCCAACACAATTTTGCCAATTAATCTGTTTATATCTCTGGCTTTCTGCCCCCTAATTGTTTATCAACCAAGTAACACTGAGTGGCAACTCTAGTGTGTGGCTAGAAATGCTTTTAGGGAGCACATTTAAATAACTGATCCAATGTCATTCTGGACCTATCTAAGCCGGGTCTATGTTTCTGCAGTGTTAGACCAATATATTCATCTGCAAGTTAATTCCTAATTCCTCTGCCAAGCCACAATTTGGCTTTCTTCTTATAACAGCACAGATGAAATCATTTAAACACAAGACAGATGTAAACTTTACCAAAGCCTATCAGCATATTTCAGAGAAACCAAAACATATAGCATATAAAATAGTTGTAACAAATATAATCAAGGGAAAGAATACTATTTTTGCCTTCATAATTTTTACAGTAATATAGACAGCAAAATTGGTTCTAGTTTTCAAAGCAAAAATAATTACCAAATGTGTTTTAGGTTCCTAGAGAAGCTTGCTCACATATACACGGTTACAGATGCCTTTTAACATAAAGGGCAAGTTTTAAACATTCATTCTCAAGCAGGCTTCCTTATTTAGCATGAGGGCAGGGGCACCTGCACAGATATCTAGTTACTACATCCAGAATTCTACAGCATCTACTTACTTTTACAATTTCACATTCATCATAGCCTTTCAATCATTAGTAAGCCTCTAAAATAAAAAAGGCAAAAAGTTACAGATCCTTACCTGCCACTCCAGCTGAAATCATGTGTACCTGGGTAGAGTCTGGCTCAAAAATATTGTTCAACTTTTCCTTGCAATTTGAGTAAGCAGCAAAGTATATTGCTCTAAAATTAGAATAAAATTCAAGTTTATCTTATTGTACCTTATGCTGAGCTGTTCCTTCAAGCAGTGCTAATGCAGGACACAAAAGCTTCATTATATTACTGTACTCTAAGCAGATATTATCTAATCACTAAAATATACTTGCTATTCAGAAAGTTGTTCAAACCATAATTCAGTGAAGCAGCTGGAATATTTAGGAATTATGAAACAGAATTTAGAAAAAAATTAAAGGAATGGGGTCAGTTTATAATCTGCTCATCTCATCATCTCTGTAATATAACCCAAATCCTTAAAGATCGTCATCCTTAAAGAGAGAGGATATCTGTGAACGTAAGAGGAGTTTCTGAGCCTAAAGTACTCAAGCGTCTCGGTCATGCTGAGTTTGCAATGCTTTGCTTAATTTATAAATGAAGTTGTTATTTGATACACTCCTAGCAATGCAGTACCAAGCAGTGCTATCTGTAAACTCATTTTAAGGCACTACCAAAATGACAGAACAAGGAAAACCTCTGTAACTAACATCTAAGATTTGCATCAAGATGGCAAAATACATGGTAATTTTTGGCTTTTGAGTTGATCTGTTAAGGAATGGCAAACTGGAAACATACCTTTCCAGCTTCCAGTCTTCTCTCCTTGTTCAGTTTGTTTTAACCTTTCAGAGTAAATTTAACTTTGAGTACACGTAAAAAGAAATTAAGAACAGCAAAGAATTTTTGTAAATTTTCAAATACAAAATTACATAAAACTGACTAACTGCGTTCATTAGCATTTAAGCAAGCTTCTTCAGCAATACTGTTTGCTTGTTACAAATATGAAACCTATTTTGTAAAACACCACAAAACATATATGTTTACTGACATTTTTAGGCTGGTGATAAGGCTTGTGCATTTTTTAAAATCAGTACATAAAATCTACAAGGAGTCGAAATATAAACATTAACTTAATCTCATTACTTATGCAAACATGTTTTTCCTACCAGCAAAATGATAAAGTGCTTACTTTATGGTGTGTAATTTTTTAAAATGGGATCTGAACCTGGTTGAGTATGCTGTATATGTTATGAAACAAGCTTCTTTACAGCTTATTCAAACAAAGAACTGCTGTTAAAGCCACTTACCAAATGCTTAATTGAAACAAGCAGTATTTGATCAAAGCTGATGACTGGAAAAAAACATGATGTGCTAATTTATAAAGCTAAACACATTACCAAGTGGACTGGCACTGGAAAAAAACAAGCTACAGTATTTGAGCATCTTTTTGAAAGATATATTGCAAAGTAACCCGTGTAACAAAATTAACGTACAGTAGAGAAATTTAGAGTAAATTTTGTGAATTCATGAAATATTTTTACAACAGTTTTCAAGTTGGTATGTGAAAGTAATAAACTACAGGCTCCATTATGACCTACAAGAATTTATTATATGAGTGGTGTGTTTTGGGTCTGTACAAGGCCAGATCAAATATATGCCAATAAAAATTGTGCTGGGAATGACAGCCTGGTACTTAGGGTACCAGCCTGTGACTTAAGAGTAGAGAATTAAACGCTAGTCTCTTTCACAAGCTCCTTGAGTAACGGTGGGAAGACTGTGTGCCATAAACCCTCATTTTCAAGGTTAGGTTACTAAGACTCAGTAGCATTGTGAGGATAATTCCATTAAGGATTGTGAGGTAGGCAGCCATTTACTTTGACAGTGTGCAATAGCTACGAAATAGAAATTCTGACTGGGAAAAGCAAAAACTTTTAAATACAAAATTAAGACCATCTATTAAGGTCAAACAAAATTGGAGCATTTAATTGAGATTATGAAGGTTCTCTGTTCTTAAAGACTTGCTAATGTCTAATGAACACTTGCTGAAAAAGAATTAGAAACAACTCTTTCCTGTCTGAGTGCTTATTTGAATCTTAGCAATTGGTATCTTCAAAAGCTAGAACTATAAACTTATTAGTTGTATGTTTATAATGTCAGGAAGGTCTTAACGCCAGCTTTTGGATAGTACAAATGATGAGTTTAACACGAGCATATGAAGAATATTCTGCTCCTAATAATCTCACCAAAAATTAAGTGAGGGCAATCGAGATCATAATCATAATGACGTAATTTTACATCCCGCTATTTCACAACCTGTCTGGATCAGGGATGGAAAGACCAGTTAACTTTTGGAAGAACTGGTGCTGAATTTGTGATAAGAATGAAAAAGATGTAGAATTCTGCATGAGATTTTCATGTAAGTTTTCAAAATGTTTCAAGTCATTTTAATAGCAATTAAGCAAAATATACACGACAAAGTGCCCTTTAAAATTAAACACATTTTTTAAGGAAATCAGAAGGATAGGAAATGATTTGATCTTAGTTTCTTGTTCCAACAGATGCATGACAAATTACCTGAATGGGTTTTCAGGAACTATTAACTACTGAAGCCAAATTAGCACAATGTGCTAAGTTTATTCTTGGGGTAAAAGCATGAAGTCACACCAAGGATAAATTTGGCCTAATACAACTGTAAATGTAATACAATTCTTAGATATACTAAATAATTAATTAGAAAGAATATTTACAGTTGTAATACGATTCTTAGGTATACTAAATAATTAATTAGAAAGAATAGCTTATTAATTTGGAATTATTTTGACACATGCACAGACAACATGCCAAAGACCTATGCAAGTATTTATTCACATGACAGCATATCATGTGTCTGACAGTGGTACAAGTTATGGTATTAAGGATAATAAACTCTCTGCAGGGTTATAAACTCTGAGAAAGAGTTAGGGTGTAATGACTAGATTTTCAAACACACCAAAAAGGATTGTACTCCTGAATTTGAGACAACTTTGGAAATTTTCTCCTAAAATGTCAGAAATTATACAAAAAGGGGGCTCCGTAAATGACAGGAAGTTAGCAGACTCAAAAACAGATGGAGGAGATGAGCTGAAGCTAAGAATGAATGGAGTTTAGAAGTATCTTTACGCAAAGAGGAATTAATATGTGGAATAGACAATAAAACTGCACCAGGAACATTTTATTGTAAATATCATAGAGTACAAACACTTAAAAGAAAGCAGCCATGAGATAGCCACACAGCCTACCACTTGGAAATTATATTAGGATTTCTTCCATCCATTATTATTATTATAATAATTTCAGCTTCTGTTTAAACTTGCTCAAAATATAAGGCATGATTCTCCGCAGCAGGTGCAACTGCATTATGCTGTGCCTACAAAGCCAAGTATACCAGCAGAATCATTCACCTGGAAAAAGGCATATGTCCACAGGTTTTGGCCGAGAGCCCTGACCCGGTTCCTACTCTGGTGGGTCCCACCTTATTCCTGGGCTGCTCTAGCTGACTCTGCAGCCCCCACGTGCCTGGTCCTAGACAGCCTGCATTGCTGTGCCATTCCCCCAGTTCCAAAGTGGACTTTTCATTGTAAGCGGCCCAAAATATGTGTTTTGGTAGCAGATTTCAGTCAGTGAGTCAGGCCCAATGTATTAGGAGTATTTTACCGCATTGTCCTCTGGAAGAGGACAGGTTACTTGAAGATTTCAAATATATATTTACTTCCTACTTTACATCATAGGAAACAGTGTACTTGATTTTACTCTCAAAGTCACATGCTCATCATTAAAGTGCATGTACATCCCTGCAAACTGGAGGTGAGACTACTCTCTATGTACAAACTGGATATCAGAAAAGTTCAAAAAGGGACATTATCAAATACGGTAGATACAGAGATGCAGGTCTGGAAGTTGCTCAGTTGGGATTGGTATTCCTCTGTAGAGGCATGTCCTAGATCTGTTTCTCTCACATTCAGAAAGTATACAAAGATTTTTAAAAAGTGCCAGTACCACTAAATATTTCAACATCAGATGTAACAGTTTATCTGAAGCAAGTCCCCAATGTCCTCAATCTTGACATACACGTTTAAACACTCGACTAAAGTTATTTCACTTATTGAATACCCATGTTAGATTTTACCTGGAAGGAGCAACGCCTACCAAATTAGGACCTAGCCCTCTAAACAGAGATCGAGGACCTTCCTTTTGCAAGATCATCCTGAAAAACAAAAAAGTGATATTGAAACATTAAACATATTAGAAGTGTGCAACTGGCCTACAGTTCAGTGCTATGATTTAGTTTAATACATTTGTACGTAAAATGAGCTAAGATTAAAATTTTCCTTTTTAACAATTTAATTCTGTACCTGCAAACATCAAGTCAAAATTTTCTTAAAATATGCACAAAGAGTTAAATGAATTCTTTATAAACACCATTACTATAACACACACTTTGGTTATACAGCACATTTGCACCTATAAAGGTTATGGTCATCTTAAGGCTCAACAACATGTAAATGTTTTCTTCCAGCTACCAAAGTAAATTACTCCAAATACCTATGATCTATTATTAACACATTCATCTTGATATAGATTCCTGTATATTGTTCTTATAATGTGGGAACATTTAATTCTATTGTTCTTTTCTCCCACAAGCAACTATCCCCACACCTAATAAAATACTATGTCTGAGGAGGTTCTTGAGAAAAAATGTACCCTAGAAGAGCTGATCACTGCAATTCCCAAATTCCAAAAGGTTCTGATATTAAAGATAAATTAACTTTAGTTAATATCAATCTAACCAAGGCAAAAATCAGATATAAAACATTCCTTACTCCTCACAAACACACAAACAAGCAAATACCACCATACAATAATCTCTGGTTATTTCAACATAGTATGTTTAACCCAACGTGTCTCAAAGTGGGCCGTGAGCCTGCTTTATGAAAGCTGCGTGGCGGTCTAAAAATGGCTAACCGGAGCCAATGGGAGCGGTAAGGTTACATGGCTATGGACCCTGTAAGTAAACAAAGTGGCACGGGCCTGTTAACAGCACTCCCAAAGCAGGCTTGCAGCCCATTTTGAGAAAAACTGGTTTAAACTATAAACTTAAAATATATGCTCAAACTTACAGGAAAACGACACACTACATACAAAAATGCTAACACCTCCTTCTCCCAAGCATACAATTAATATTATTTTAGAATGTATTGGATGTTTCATTAGCACAACAGGATTTCAAGCAAAATAAGAATTTTCTAAAAAGTGAGAAAATAATTTTGTCAGTGCTCAAAAGATACACAGAGCCAATATTTGCTCAATGAAGTGTTCTGTCTTCAGCCTATTTTTAACTTGATTTTGTATTTGGAAAATTACAAATACTAATTTTGAAGCTCCCCCACTGTATTATGAACAGAGACAGAAGGAGCAGATATGTTGAAGAGCATGTGGCTCTCCTGAACATCCTATTCCAGTGGTTCCCAACTGCTGGTCCATGGACTGTCAGCAGGCTGTGAACTGCTGCTTGTAAGACTGTGGCTCGCTACCAGACCATGCCCTGCTGCTTCGGCCTCACCCGCTGGAGAAGTGTGCAGTGACTGGCACATTGGGAGGGTGCTCTGGGGTCTGTGCTGGGCCTGCGTGTACATGCAGGCCCAAGCAGCACAAGGAGCAGTGAATGGGGTGGGGGGGTGGATTCATGCCTAGCAGCCCTGGGGAAGGCACCGCCCGACTGCGGCACAGGTTGCTCCAGGAGATCTAGAGTAGCAGCATTATCCCTGTTCCACGCATGCGCTCTGGGGCTGAAGCTGCCAGTCTATGGCCCACGACTGCTGCCGCTTGTGCTGGGAGCTGAGAGACAAGGGCGAGCGATGATGGTGGTGGCACCGGCACCTCCGCCTGCCCCACGAGGGAGAAGGTATGGGCGAGAGCACCAGCCTCATCAGTGATCCTGGAGAGCTCGGGCAGCCACAGCAACAAGCTGCTTTTCTGCTTCCCCCCTCACTATAAGGAACAGTGAGGGGCCAGGTGGCACAGATCCCTCTAAGATGCACACTTGCACACGCAAAGGAAATTTCTTCCTCTCCACCTCCTACGTAGAGCTGCGCAGCAGTGCGGCAGGCAGGCAGCTGCTCCAGCTGCCCGTGGTTGGCGGGCAGATGGCTGGGGCCGGAGGAGCTGCATGGAGGGCAACTGCTCTGGCCAGCAGGGACTGCGACTGTGGCCACATGATGGGCGGGTGAGCAGCTGCTCATTAATGTTGTCATGTGCAATGCTCTGATTCTATTTGGAAATGTTTGAATTATAGGAGTGGAAAATGATCAAGTAGCACAGAATAAATAGTTCCAGCAACATGGGTTATCAAGGTGACTTATTTCAGAGTGTCTGTTTGCCAGTTATTATATTTTTAAGCTTAAACCCTCCGCGTGAATGGTTTTAAACCAGAGCTAATGTATGGTTTTCACTGTTTACTACTGCCATGAATAAACATGCGGTGCTCCAAGGATAGTTTTTGTGCAGGAAACTGCAGGATCTGCTATCAGAGCCTCAGGTTTTCCCCTTTGTTGTGTGCATGTAGATGCAATGCAAAATAACACATGCCTGCTTAAAATTAATTACCATAAAGAATATGCAAATGTCTCTATACCAGTCCACTGAAGTTTTCGAATGAGTTTACCAGTCCACGGTATAAAAAAGGTTGGGAATCACTGGCCCTATTCCTTAACTTAGTATCCTCTCCCACCCATACTGCAGGATTAAAACTCAGATTAGGGCCAGATTCTTCTTTGATTGATATATTCCAAGTACTCCCAACGAAGTGGCTGGAGTGTAAATCCTGGTTAAATAGGAACTATTGTTTCCGACCATTTGGATCATTCCTGCAAGATGCAAGAGGTTTCTGATCCCAATCCAGGAAAAGCCCTTTAGCAAGTACTTAACTTTAATCACATGGGTTATCACACTAACGCCAATGAGACTATTCAGATTTAAAGTTAACCAGGGGCATAAGAGTTCTGTTGGATCAGGAACAAGGCATCCAGCATCATGCAAGATTAAGACTATTATCTGCATGGCTCAGGGAACAGTGTTGCTGGAATGAAACCACCACACGTTTTCTTGAGGAACTTGCAAAGGAATGGACCAAAAATACTGAGCAATAAAGTGGTTCTTTAAATCAGCAGTTCCCAACCGCCAGTCTGCAGACACTGGTCTGACATTGACAGGCCATGCCACCATTTTTTATTTAGTTCTGCCCCTGGAATTCCCAGGGAATTCCCTTCCTTCGCACTTCCTAATGCAGCAACAGGGTGAGCCGGTAGCTGGGTATGCTGAGGCTGAAGCTGAGACCACAGTGAGGCTGTCCCTGCTGGGGTAGCCTCACTGTAGCTCCAGTTGCAACTCTAGTGATCTCTATGCAGACCAGACAGCAGGGCTGAGCGCCAGGTACAGAGCGGCTGCCCCCAACCAGCAGGGCCTGAGTCAGGTGCAGGGCGGCTACTTCTGTGTTTCTGTTCTCCTCCCTCCTTGCTCGGCAGGTGCCTCCCCCGGCCTCCAGCCAGCAGATACACACATTATTATCATGCAATATTAAGTGAACGGGAAGATAAGAATGTGCACAATGTGTCAGCACTGTCAGACCTGTCAATACTGCCTCTTTCATTCTAGTGCAATTGAGGCAAAAGGTTTGGACTGGAGAATACACTTTAACAAGTATTTTATTGTTTTTTTAAAAATGTGCGTATGCAGCTGTTTTTCAAATTCTTGTTAACCATCATGTCCCCCCCTCCTTTCATTTGCCTGATATACCATGGGCTAAAATCACCACAATGAATATGCAAATATTTCACTCTGAGAACAGTTTTTGAATGAGTTTGCCAGTCTGCGGTATAAAAAAGGTTGGGAATCACTGCTTTAAATGACTGATATAAGATAGGATACGATGCCAATATATAAAAATGTTGAATACTTGTCCCATAGGGTTGTGATTTAAGGTAGACCACACTGCACAGGGTGAATGGCAGCACAGGTTCGGTTCCGACCTTTCATAATACAGTATCTCTGAATGTAAACAGTTTTGGTGCGGACAACAACAGGAAAGCCTAAATCTTTATGCTAATTTCAGTGGTGGCTCTGTGCGGGCTTTAAAAAAAAATGTAAGTATGATCTCTGAGCCACTGGAAAACCCCAGGAAGTTCACATTTTAAAATGATTTTTTTCTAACTGCTAACTTGATATCACAATATAGGACATCAAGGTTATCAGTTTCGATATGCTGTCCAATATAGATAATGCTTCTCAGGCACATTTCCTGTTCACTAATAATATCCAGGTTAACAACAAGAGAATTAATCCATTCTGCAAACTCAGTTATTGTGCAAAATGCCCACCTCTGAAAGGTTTCAAAAGATTAGTCTGAACATGCACATCAACTAAGTATAGTGCACAAGTAGATTTCAAATGTATTCTGAACACCAACATTTGAAAACAATCACATTTTCCATCACACTGTTCCTACTATGGAACAGAACCAAAAATTTAGACCACTTCAAATAAGTCTGATTTTTTTTAAAATGAAAAAGGTATCTGTGTTCTATAAAGTTATAACGGCAGTTCGGGGAATTCTGAACTGAACTGTGGCTCCAGCATGGCAGTGGAGAGCATGGGTCATTGGACACATGGAGGTGGGAGATGACCCCGAAGGCCCCACATCCACCAGTACAGGGAGCTGGAAGTGAAGCTGTACCCAGCTCTGATACAGTGCAAGGGCCTGCCCCAGAAACACCTGTGGCCCTGTCCCCTTGCACCGGGCATGACAGGTGTGGGTGGGCAGGCTCCACCCAGCAGGCTCCAAGTGTAGAGAGGCTTAGTGTGTGGGGGGATCCAGGTATGACAAGAGATGTTTCTGCGTGGGGCGATCTGGGTGCAGGCAGCTCACTGGAAGATCTGGATGCACGGGGGATCACTGGGGTGGGGAGGGGTTTCCGAATACAGGAGCAATGGGACTTGGCAGGAGGTCCAGGTGAAGGTGGGGGGGAGGCTTAGGGCTTGGCAGGGGGGTTGGAGCATGCAAGGGGTCAGTGGGGAAGTTGGGTGAGGGTCCAGGTGCAGCTAGCTGGGGCTCAGTAGGCGTAGAGGGATGGACCTTGTTAGGATGAGGGTTTGATGGGTCTACTTAATGGAAAAGCCCCAGCTCCTCCCTACCTCACAATTCCCTGCTCCCGTTCCTTCTCCATCGTGTCCCCCTCCCCAAGGTCCCAACTCCTTCCTCTTACTCTCACTTTCCCCTCTCCCTGCCTTATTTTACCCTCTCCCTTTCCCACTGCCTCTTCCCCTGTACCCCTTCTTTCCCTTCTCCTTACCCAGCCCCGCCATGGGCACTCACTATTGCATTGAAACCAGAAAGGCTCTCATCGTGCAGAAAGGGAGCACAACTGGCACTAGGACCCAGGAGAGTCAGTAGAGCCCAGACTAGCCTCTTCAGCTGGGCACCTGCAGAAATGGGGGAGGAGAAGAGGGGCAAGAGGAGAGCAGAGAGTGATGGGTAACCCTGGTGCCCCTCAATCGCCTGTTTGAGAGGGGGCAATCCCACTTCCCTGCTGTTTTCTACAGACATTCTGCCGGAGGGCAGGCGTTTTCCTAAGGCATGAAGAATTTCCCCAGGAGTAAGTTAGATGTGATTTCACAATGTTGAAAGCACTCAGCTGAAGTAATAGCCACATTCCAAACATACTGTGCAAACCCCTACAACATGGGTTCCCAAACTGGGGGGCATGTGAAGAAATTCCAGGGGGATGGGGACACAAGGAGACCTAGCCCTCCCCTTAAGTTTTCTGTTATTTTTGTTTTTTGGCTCCAGTCAGTTCCTCTTTTTTTTTTGCGCTATTGGGGGGATGGTGTTGAGGGTTTCTCAAAAATCAAAAAGGGGGCGTGATGCCGAAAAGTTTGGGAACCACTGCCCCACAACAAATAATTTGCCCTGTTAGAAGAACTGAAGGATCTTTTCCAAATTTCTGTTCCTACGAGCTCATCTGCTTGGGCCAATACTTGATCATGCAGACTCCCACTCAAGTGGGTCTGCACATGTTCATCAGTAAAGGGCAAATGGCAGGATCTGAGCCTAAAGCATGCTTGGTCTAGCTGAAAGCTAGTGTCAGAGGGAATTAGACCAGCTGTTCTTTAAAAATCAATACATAAGCTATTTTAATCGCATCTGTCAGATGAGGCCATGTCCTCACCCCACCCCCACCATGGTTCTACTAGGAAGCTAGATCTTTGCTGATGAGATAACCTAGAACCTCAGGGAGAGAAGGGCGCATATGGAGATCCCTCCAAATCTGAGGATATCTGCTTTATACCCACGTTTGCGGATATCTGTGGCTCATTTTTGCAGATACGCCTGAGGATACAAAGTTAGTATCTGCAAAGGGCTCTACTCATATGTACTGGCCTCTATGGCTGCCTCATACGGCAACAGCAGCCTGGGAAGATCTGTTGAGAGTCAGGCTGGATTGTAGACATAAAATTAGTCTGTACATCATTCTAAACATTGTTTTCACAACAGAAGTTCAGCCATGCTAATAGTGACATCATGATTTTGAGAAAAAAAAACCATACTCCTGTCTGAATGGGTTATAGCTGCTACAAGAGAAAGATCACACTCACTTCTTGCCTCTCAGTTTTACTTCAATGCATTTGAGCAAGTCACAGTTTTGCGTGTACAGTATACTCGGGGCCAGGTTCTGTAATCTCATCTATATAGACAGACACTTATTCCTGTAGACAGACCACTGATGCCAATGGAGCACCACACAGAATCAGGGCCTTCATCATTCCTCTCGATATAAGGGACTCTTACACAGCACACTGACATGCAGAATGGTAGAGTGGGTATCGCATATGATGGAGACTCAGACCTGGGTTCAATGGCTGCTACCAATTTGCTCTATAACCTTGGGTAAATAAATCACTTTACCCCTGTGCCTCTGTTCCCTTCTTACCCTTTGTTCATTTACAACGGTCAGTTCAGGACTGCCTCGCCATGTGTGTAGAAAATACTTGAATATAATTCTACAACAGCACACTATACTAAAAAGGATGTCCCATCATAAACCAGATGTTTTTGTAGTCAATTTTTCAAAGTTAATGAAATTGACACACACACTTTAAATTTCCATTCAGTGGTGCTTATCTAGCTTTTACTAAGGCTCTCATCTGAGGAAAGCAAGAATCAGATCTCTGGAGACCTTTCTTGGGAGCCTAAATTAAATTACTTGTATATACATATTGCCAGTGGGAAACGGGTGCATTTGGACCAGAAAAAAAAACGAAACCTCAAATTGCTCGTCATTCATTGATAAATATCAACTTATTTTGATAAAAAGCAAAATTTAACTACACCTAGGATGAATTTTAACCAATATTGTAAACTTAAAAATTTCAGAAAGAAACGTGGGTGGTTAATTATGCAGTACAGTTATTTGTAAACCCTAGGCTTAGCATCATTACAATGGGAAATGGGGAGGAGTGGGAGGGAAATGTATCATTGTTATTTTTTGTTTAACAAATGCAATTGACATCACATTGTATCCAGACAGTTTTATTATTTACTTGAGTATAGTTTATTAGTTCCCCCCCCATTGTTTGTGTGAGTCAATCACATAACAATGGAGACAAAAGGTAAACATGCCCAAGTACTCACGGACAGTTATAATAAATCAAACTACCTCTAACGCAATTTTAAAAACTGAATAGATTTCAAGCTGATTCTGTCCCTCAACATCTCACCACATGGGTGCTCACTTTATTTTTTATTACAAATATTTGCATTGTTAAAAAAAAAGATTAGGTAACAGTCAGCTCTTCTGGGGCTGCAGTTCCAGACCAATTTTGTTCTCTCAGTGTGACAAAATGTTACATGCACGTAACCATTTATGGAGTGGACATTGTATCATGACTACATTGTAAAGAACTTATTTTGGGGCAGACAAAATACAGATTGCAGCCCACTGGGGCCCTCAGGCAGGCTCCCCTGCTGTTGCAGCTCCATGCTTCTGGAAGTGGCTAGCTGCTAGAGCCATGTGCCTTGCGGGGGGGG